TCGTGCAACTGACGTGTCCACGAGCACCAGCCGAAAATCCCGGGAGGTGAAGTCAGTCTCGTCCTAACTCCGACAATGGAATATACAAAGGGGCGAACTCCTCGTGATTGTTTAGTACCTAATTCCGGAATCAGTTATAATCTTTCTGCCTGGCATTTACTAATAATCCGAGTATCGGGATAAATATCAACATAAGCACGCACACCTTCGTAGTGTTAAATCCCGCGTAACAAACATTGAGTGAATTTGTTCGATGAACCGGCTGATGGGCTGCAAAATTTCCCATTACGGCTAGTCAACAAATTGATTCTTAATAGTGAACAAATGTAGAATCAAAACTCAGTGACTGTGCCCCTCATGAAGGCCAGTGTCAAGAAATAACAATTAGTGATATCATAAATGTGGATTGAGTGACTCTCTCTTGTCTCAGGTGATACCTCCATATGGATTAGTTTATAATCATTTTTATCTGGATTATATGCGGTCTGTAATTGATTCTTATTATTATTGCAATTATTCTGGCCTAAGTTTTAATTTTAATGTTTCTCCTTTTATTTAATTTTTCCTGAACTTTTATCATGATTGGTCGTGATAAACAAAATGTATTCAGATTCTCAATATTCGTCAGTAAAGTCCATTTGCCTATACTTGACATTTTTCTTATTTAACAACCTTGACTTCAATTATTTATTATTCGCGTCATTAAATATTATTATCACTCTCAATTGTTATGCGACAGACGGAATGGTAAGTGCAGATGTGCCTAGCACTTCAAAGGTAAGAATCCACACTAAATAAAAAAAAATTATTTTCCGTCCCGGCGGGCGCAAAGTTGCATTTGTTATTAAAGTTACGCTTCGCGGGAGGGAACTCTGACTTTGCGCCTACGCCGAGACGGAAAATCGCGTTCTAACCACGGGAAGTGAAATTAAGGACCCTCAGCCGCGTGCTTACCAACCTCGCCTTCGGCTCGGCTGGTAATTGCACTGGCGATTCGAATCCCGGCTGGGCGAATCGGAATTTTTTCTCTCTAAATTTCAATTCTATTTGAATTTATTTAATGCCTAAAGGTGGTTAGGCAGCGTGCTGAGTTGAATTTGGAATGAGAATTTCCATGGTTCCCGGTAGCTTAGTCGGTAAAAGTGCCCGGCGCGTAACTGGGAGACCCGGGTTCGAATCCCGGCTGGGCGAATCGGAATTTTTTCTCTCTAAATTTCAATTCTATTTGAATTTTTTTTTTCGAGCCGAGACGGAAAATCGCGTACTAACCACGGGAAGTAAAATAAAGGACCCTCAGCCGCGTGTTTACCAACCTCGTCTTCGGCTCGGCTGGTAATTGCACTGACGGCTGAGGATCCTTTATTTTCCCTCCCTAGGTTAGAAATATACTATTATTGCCTGGTCTGAAAAATTGGTTGAATACTAGATAGGAGGATAGGAGGATAGGATTCTCCTAATTTTTCACATCCAAACGGAACACCTGCAAACAAACAAAAGTGTCAAGTTTCGCAGCATTATCATCATCAATCTTCATTGGTCCGAAGAAGAAGGCCTGACAATTCTCTCATTCCAAACGTAATGATGACAGTACAAATTCATACAGGAAAGAAATCCTGATTTTCTTTAATTCTCCATTAGGACTTGTAGTTAAAAATTTACTAAAAGTTTGCAAAAAAAAGGAACAAAAAATTTTTTGTTCAAAACAGGCCAAATAACTGTTTAATTGAGTTGTTAAAGAAAAACATTTGGAACAACAAAATTTTCTGGGTATTGCGGAAAGAATTCTCTTTGATTCTCCATTAGAATTCATATTAAAAAATGACTGAAATCTCTCTAAAAAATCCTAAAAATTAATTTTTGTTAAAAAAAAAAGACAAGTAGCCATTTCGATGCATTGTTAGAAGAATTTCAGAAAAAAATATTCTTGAGAAATTCCAATGGATTCTCTTTAACTCTTAATTATTTTTCTAAAAATCATAAAAATAAGTTTTTGTTGAAAATTTGTAGTTAAAAAAAAGGAACTTCGGGACAACGATATTTTCTGTGAAAAATTTCAGATAACTCATTTGCAGACAATTGATTCTGCGAAATTTAAAAAAAAGAGAAATGAGGAAGAGTGCCAAGTTTCTGAAGTTAAACTTATTATCTTGTAGGACGACAGAACTTCTTATAAAATATAGAGAAAATTCCCACATTTTTAACAGCGGCTTGTTCTCAATGGCAACTCATCATTATCAATTTCTATGAGTGATAGTGGGGGACGGTCATAAAAAGTGTGGTTTATCCACACAAATTCCATAAAAAAGAGTGTCAATATGAGTGGTTTCTTAAAAAAAAAAGGTTCACAAAAAGAATCAGGACCACCGCACTTGGCGCATTTTTTAAACCGAAATCATTCATAATATGCGGGAGCGAGTTTCGAATGACAAGGTATGCGTTGTACACTGTCCAACTGAGAAAGGTGCCGTCCATCTTTCTCACATAGTATGTATCATTAGGTGTATAAATAAGTTTTAGGACACTTTGCAAAAAATTTAAAATTCATTTTCGAAAAAAAGTAAACTGTATTTATTCATCAAAATAATCTCGATCATTTTGAATGACCTTCAGCCATCTGTTACGTAATTTACGGATGCCTTCCGCAAAAAAAATTTTATCTTGCGAGGCGAGGAAATTATCGACCCATTTTTGCACTTCTTCAAATATTTTGAATCGCACATCAGTCAATTCGTCTTGCACCTTCCGAAATAAGTGAAAATCAGTTGGAGCTAAGTCTGGTGAATACGCCGGATGTGGCACAAGTTCCCATCCAAGAGCCATTAACGTATCTTTGACCGGTTTACCCACATGATGCCTGGCGTTGTCATGGAACAATTTTACTAAACGTTTTCCTTTGCCACTAAATGGACGTTTTTGTTCAATTTCTTGGTTGAATCTTATTAATTGTTGACGACAGGGATCGGCAGTAACTGTCTCGCTAGATTTCAAAAGTTCATAATGCAGTACGCCTTTCATTTCCCACTATAATGCAGTTCATAATGCAGTACGCCTTTCATATCCTACCATAATGCAGTTCATAATGCAGTACGCCTTTCATATCCCACCATATACACAGCATGATCTTCTTACAGTGAATATCGCGCTTCGGTTTCGATGTCGTCGGCTCACCGGGTTTAACCCAATTATATTTGCGTTTCGGATTATCAAAATAAATCCAGTTTTCATCACCGGTCACAATTTTCCACAAAAAAGACTTTCTATGTTGCTTCTTGTAAAGATTGAGACATATGTCAAGTCAGCTATCTTTAATTTCTTGAATCAAAAAGCGTGGCACCCACTTTGTTCCTTTTCGAATCTTTTCCATTTCGTTTAATCGATAGGAAACGGTCTGTTGAGTTACTCCAAGCTGTTTTGCAAGTTGTTTTTCCGTCTGACAAGAGTTTTCATCCAGCAACGCTTGCAGTTCCTGGTCATCCACTCTTCCAGGGGCCCCGGTACGTTCACGGACACTATCGTCGAAATCACCTTCTTTAAATCGCTTATACCAATACTCACATGTACTTTTAGATACAATATTGTCCCCAAGAACAGAACAAATCGATTGACATGCTTTCCTAACAGTTTTTCCTTGATGGAATTCATAGCGAATGCAGTGTCTAATAAATAGCTTATCGGTCTGCATGTTTTATTCACAGAATTTAAGGTTATGTTTATGACTCCTTTATGTTTTGACACTACATAACAAAACCCACCATATCATATGTAAGCGGTAACTTTGAATTACTTTCATGACACGGAATCGAAGTGTCCTAAAACTTATTTGTACACCTAATAAAAGGAGATACACAACACACAGTTCATCGTGCGGAGCTCGTTCCGGTTGCACGAGTAGTTGTACGGTGATTCTCCACGTAGGGAAAAATAGTCGCTCTAAGAGCTTCCAAATATTGCCACAAATCTCCACCATCCTCATTTTCTCATATATGATTGCATCGACTTCAACTCACTGTTGTGATAAAGTAACAGTTCTATTAATTTCAGAATAATCCTTCATATCTCTTCAAGCCAAGGAATCGACAAATCCAAACTTGCTTCAAATTCTCGCGAGATTTTTACATTAGCCTGGAAAATCGCGCCAATTACGTTGGTCCTGACTCTTTTTCTAAACCTTTTTTTTAAGAAACCGCTCATATTCACACTCTTTGTTATGGAATTTGTGTGGATAAACCACAATTTTTATGACCTTCCCCCACTGTCACTCATAGGAATTGATAATGGGGGGTTGCCATTGAGAACACACCACTGTTAAAAATGTTGGAATTATGTCCACATTTTATGAGAAAATCGGTCGTCCTTCAAGATAATAAGTTTAACTTCAGGACCTCGGCGCTCTTCCTCATTTCGTTTTTTTTTAATTTCGCAGTATCAATTGTCTGCAAATGAGTTATCTGAAATTTTTCACAGAAAATCTCGTTGTCCCAAAGTTCCTTTTTTTTAAAAACAAGTTTTCAACAAAAATTTATTTTTATGATTTTCAGCAAAATAATGAAGAATTAAAGAGAATCCATTAGAATTTCTCAGGAACATTTTTTTGTGAAATTCTAATAACATGGCAGCGAAATGGTTACTTGGCGTTTTTTTTAACAAAAATGTATTTTTGTGATTTTATTATAATCAAGTACTAAATTCTCATATTTAAATACCGACAAACCATTGGTGGGATTTATCTCTTCAAGCCTATTATAATTATAAGTACCCCCCCCCCCCCTGGGCACCAAATAAAAATACCTGCATTAGGTAAGAGGAAAATGCTCGAAGAAAAATTTGTGAACAAATATCATTTTGATGTTTACATCTAGCACATGAAATTCCAGGCGACCATTTGGTTTACCATATTATTTATCGCTTCAACTCGGGCGTCAGTAAACAATTAGCATGCCTGTACTTGACGTCAATAGTTCTCATAAAATCTCATGACACAACACTTTAATTCGCAGACTTCAACGCACTTACAGTGAACAGTAAAAGCAAGGGACGACTAAAACTTTACGACTTTCATAATAATAATAAGTGCATCATGATGGTAAGCATTGAATTCGATATACGCGTCCATAAATTTAAAAAAACTGGACATTTTTCCGATTGTTATCTAGTTTCCGAGATATTCATATTTCGAAAATCACAAAAATATTTCATCGCCATGTCAGGGGAGTTGGGCAATTTCCTAATTATGCACAAATTGCGATCAAGTTTTTTATTGAATCATGTGAAATTATGAGTTGAAAAAAAGGATGGACTGAAAAGATAATAAAATTCACATTTCCTTCAATTTTCGATTAATCGGCGAAGGAGGCATAATAGAGAAAAATAGAGGTAATTTGCTGTACACGTAATCTGAATAATTCTACATTCTTTAAATGGATACAAGGAAGAGCAAACCTCTATTTAAATGTGTCGAATTCAGCGGCCCTATCTTATTGTCATTTGAGAAACAAATTAGCATATGAATTGGACTAAGTGAATATGCCTAAACAGTGGGTTTCACTATGCAAAATTCACTTCAAGACCCTCATTGTAACATATTTTAAGAGAAATTCGGAAAACACTATAATGGTCGGACCTACACGATTGCTACAAAACATCAAATTTAGTTATTTTTGCATTTTACATTATTTATCATAATTTGGCCAATTGGTACGGAGCAGAACGGATTTCTATAGGATTATTATAGGATTATTATAGGATGGGCTAGTTTGGTATTAAGCTAATGAATTATCATGAGAAAAAACAAATTTTTCAACACACCATAATTGGATAGTCACCAATGACCATCCTCCTCACCCCATTACTCCACGCCAATATCGTCATACTGCACTCTTTGTACGGGATCAAACGTACGAGCATTCTTATATTTTTGTCATATTGTTCTAGTCATCAATGATCATGATCATCGGTGTTCTGGCGATTTTATCGGGCAATGGCACTAAAACAAATGCGGTGCCAATTCTAGAAAAATTTCCCGTCACTTTTGAACTTTATGTGAAGCCCCTTGGAGTCATTTTGTTTGAAGCAGAATTGAGGCATTCCAAAGATACTTCAAATTATCTGGGCGAAGAAAATAAAGGTCATTCTCATCATCGCTCTTATAGATCGATGCTTGACCAGGAATCTCCACGGAAGCCAAAAGATGATATGGAGACAGCAGCAGGAACGAATTTACTTCGTCCGCTATTTGTTTACCGTCAACAAATGGCCTATCGTGAACGTAATAGCAGGAAAGACGGACGACGTGCTGCACCAACCTACTAATTTTACGTATTCAACAACCTGAAAAGTGTAAGACTGAGATGAGATGTTGGAAAAAACAAAGTGTTTTTGGGAACGTCCATACATTACACATTTTAGAGCTAGTCCATCATCCACAGTTGAAATAGATGGTTTAATCCATTAAATTAGAGCCAATTTGATATTCTTCTCTGATACAATTCATTTTATGAACAATTCTATTAGTCCACTGACGGATGAGAGGACGACAGATGCGGAAACTAAGCACCCAGAATCCGGATCGTTCAGTATGAATGGATAGAGCTCGGAAGAATTAATACATAAGATTCTTTTGGTTAATTATCTTGGACGTCATGCGAATAATAGACAATAAAGATAAAATATAATATTAGTGAATCATGTGGGAAATAAATATCTTGTAACCTTAACAGGTATAATTTCGGCGCGAAATTCTTCATGATTCAAGAGTGCGACACGAGAGTCCCTCATCTTCTACTATACTATACTTTACGACACTATACTATACTATACTATCTCAAATTATATTATCTTCATTTCTAATGAAATGTGTCACGTAAACCTTCTAAATATTCATCGCAGGAGGCTCACGAGTTTGGTATTTCCATTTTATATGCAAAAAATTGATAATAGAATAAAAAATGAGAGAAAACCGAAAATTGAACTAGTTTCTAGTATCGTATAATTAAATATATAAAATGAATTTTTGCTCCCACATCACCATCGTTCGATTTTTAGATTTTCTAAGTTTGCTTAGAAATAATGGGATAGGATAGGGATAGGAATGATGTAGAATAGCCGCAGATGTGGTGGTTTACTTTTAGAAAATCGTAGAATTTAAGGACTAAAGTAATTTTTTTAAATCTTACATTTTGTGAGAATATAGGTATTGATGAGGACTAGCTCGGTGTTCAATTTCCGTACAAAGAATTCAAACGATCAGAAGAAATCTCCATTGGGCCCTAAACATTTTTTTGCAAACATCTCAAAAACTGTGGAGCCCATTTTTTTCAAAATATTCGTCTCAGTGCCTTCTATCTCGATCCAAAATGGTACAGGATAGTTTCTAAGATATTCACATTCGTCGATTGTTCGCTCAAAACCATTGCTTGCATCTAAACTTTTAAAAAAATTGGCCTATCAACGTAAAATTTCACACGAAGTATCCTTTTAGTACTACATCATACCGTATTAAGGATGAGCTGATCGGATCATTAGTTTGGAAGATATTCGGTTATAATACCCCGGGGACTTGAAAAAAAATCGGGTGTTCCTGATAACTTCGTTCCATACATACGAATATGTCAAGTTTCGCAGCCTAAAACAATTCCGAGCGCTTGGGCCAGGGATTTTTCCTGCGATACTTGACGCATTCGTTTGTATGCAGAGAAGGTTGAGAGAAATCCTCCGATTCATTTTGAGGCTCGAGGGGTATTCGGCGGATTATTTCCCCCATCACTGTTTCGATAAATAGAATTGTGGTATTCGGCGTTATCGTGGTAAATTCGACCATTTTATTGTTATTCTGCTTGGCAACCGAAAAATTACCGACCGACGGGGTATTATCGATATAATTCTGTTCTGATTGGACCATGGGACGTCGGATTCCGCAATTCTATTGTTCGGAAGTGTAATGGAGGAAATAATCAACCTTATATCGAAATTCATTTTCTTGAATATCTAAAAAACTGTTCGATCAATCTCAATTTGTCATTTTTTAAATATTCGCCTCGATGCCTTCTATCTGAATCAATCCAAATATAGATACCGGTTAGTATTGTGCAGAGGCGCGCTCGAGCGATTCGCCGCCATCCGTCGATTTTGGATACTTGAGGTGCCATCCTTCGCCCTGGAGCAGAGTTACATCCCAGGGTACCAGATTACGCCACGTTTCCTGGGAGTCGAGATAGGAAGTCAAGGGGTGAGCACGTGCCAACGCGGCTGTTTGTTAATCTAGCAAGTTTAGTTAAAATTACGAGTAGAAAATTACGGGAAAAGGATTAGTCCGTTTCCGAAGTGAAAAACAACAGATCAAACGTCGAGTTTTCGAGGCTGGTGAGTGGTCAGAGTTGTCGAGGAGACATGAAGGATCACAAAAGGAGGTTATTCCCAGTACGCCAGATACGCGTGGTTTTTGATTAAATAAGATCCCTCTCCCACGAATTCCACTGAGCACTCGAGTGTAACTATCCTTCGAGAGAGTTAGCAAGAGAGAGAATGGAACTAGAGTTGAGACCGGGTTATTGTTGGAACAAGTTCTCAATTATAAGTCAGAAATGAATAATTTAGTTTTGGAAAACGTCTCTTAGATTATCCGTATCTTTCCAAATATCTTCCCTACTGCACACCTCTGGAGAGGAATTATTCAGTTAATTGTGAGTAAACAACTGAGGAAATTGGTTGAAATTTAGTGGCAGAGGTAAGAAAATAATTCGTGTGACCTGGTCGTGAACCCTCAATGGACAGTTCGTTGTAATTGGCATCCCTTGTGGGGATGGGGTTTTGGAATTGAGGGCTCAGAAACCCTAAATAACCTTCAAAATAAAGAAAAAATTTACTTTATTCCCTTGAAAAATTTTATTATCGTTTCGGAGTTAAATCCTTTTTTTTATAGTCTCTTTTGAGTTTTGGCATCAGTGAGTAAATATTCGGGAATCATTGGCGGCGTGGGCCACGGCACGTGAAAAACGTTGAAGTTATAACCTGAAATAAAAATTTTTTTGTAACTCATTTTTCCGCCGTGAAAAAGTAAACCGGGTAGATGCTGCTACGGCAGGACTCGAGGCTCAGACATTCGAATGGACAAAGAACAAAACGAGGAAAATTGCATTTTATAAATGGGAAATATGAACGTAAAGAATGAAATATACCCAGATGTAACATCTCGTGAATTGATAGAATCTCGGACAAATGGACATTTTGAGTCTTTCATATGATAGAAGTCTCGAAACTTGTTGTGACAATAATTTACAGAGGAATCAATTTCAATTTTCTCTCTTCTCTTGAAAAACAACGTCTTGAGGCAGGAATCGTGCGACATCCAGCAAGCAAACACAGCGGGAAGGTCAGAGTTGACGATCTTTGCAACGAAAAGAAGCTAGCAGAGGGACATCACTACATAGTCCAGCTTCGAGAGAAACTTCCGGGGAAATAAATATTCCTCGGGGTATCGATCCCCATCAGTCGAATGGGTGAAAATTAAAAATGGGGATAACGCCGAAAAAGGACTCGTGAACGATGATCAACTGGAACACGATGACCAGAGAGTAGATCCGCAGAAACGAGAGAGGCTAGAGGGGCAGAGTGGACGGGAAGACCTTCTCGATGACGCCCTCAAGGAAAGAATTCAGAGGGAGGTGTATGAAGACTTCGAAACCATCGGCAGTATAGTCTGGCAAGCCATCGTTTGGAATAACTTGCAAGAACTGATGCAAGGCCTTGATGATGACGCAATACGCCGTCAACTCAGCGAGGAAGCTGCAAATCCTAAGGGCGAAAGTGACGTCATCAGCGCTACATCAGACTGCAGATGAGAATCAAAGGAGTCGCCAGCATCAGGTGGTCAAGGATCGATGGACTCCAAGAAACCCCACTCAGGCCATTCTACACCCCAAGGAATGGGCCTGGGGATAGTAGAAAGACTGAGGATCTGGAAGCTAAGAGAAAACTCGAGTTACCTTCCGAAGATCTGAGTGGAACGCAGATCCTCCCGTGAAAGAACCAACAGGCGGAGGAGGACAGACAGCATAATCTCTCCAACCCCTGGTCGGCAGGGTTGAGCGCATACCTCATAAGGAAGAGATGAGCGGACAGACTGAGGACATCCTCGAAAGGAGGATTTAAGAGGACCAACAACTCAAAATACAGCACCAAGAGAAGCTGTTGGAGGAGCTACGAGAGCAAGAGGAGGCATTGAACCAAACCTGCGAAGAAAGAAGACGCAGGGCCACCTCCCACGCTCGAGCGACTGGAGCAAATCCAGGGGTGTAACCGCAACAGATGGAGAAACCCTCCCGGCAAACTTAAAGGTACTACAATCAACGGAAAAAAACCAGGAGGAACCTCGCTATGGCAAGGCACTTTCAATCCATCAATCTTCCTGCATGCTCAACAAATAGAAAATGAAAGACCCAAGGGGGCAACCATGGAAACGAGGATCACGAAAAAAACCTTAAAAAATCCGAAAACCCCCAAAGACCATGTCCTCAACAAGATCAGCGCAGAGAATTCCAAGAAGAAGAAGGAAACACCCAAGGAAAAAAGGAGTCCCTTTCACTTCAAAAATGAAGAACCAGCATACTAAGCCAAAAAGCTGAAGACTCGACTAGCAGCTCAGAAGAAGAAGAGCCAACGTCGAAGAGGAAAAAAGAAAGGAGTGAAAAATCTGCAGAAAGCAAACGTAGGCCTGAGGAGAAACCAATAGAATTGAAGAAAAAAACAACTCGACAGGAATTATTCACAAGCTCGAGCTCCGAGGAATCTGACTCTGAATCGGATCCTTCCAGTGAAGAATTCACAGGTTCTTCCAGTGAAGATGTAGAGGAGATCAAGATGAGGAAGTTGAAAAGAAAATTAAAGGCATGGAACGAATCGAGGGACAAGAAGAAGGCAAAGAAACGCAGAGACATCGGTGAAACGATGAGAAAATGGAGGCTGACTTTCAGGAATACGGAGAAATTAAGTCCAGACGAATTCCTGGATCAGCTCACAGAAAATCTCGAGTCTGCCGATACCTATGGGTCTGAGAGGCTAGGGGTCCTGCCGGAAGTGCTGAAGGGAAGGCCGCTAACCTAGTACAGAATTAACAAAAATACAGAAAGAAGTGGAAGGACTTCCTTAAGGCATTCAGGAGCTGGTACGCCACAAAAGCGGACGATGAGGATATCGAGGAAGATATCCGCAATTGAAACCAGGGGCAAGGAGAACTGGCTATCGAATAGGCCTATACGACCGACTGAATAACCCACCGAAATTGAGTAAGCAGCTCAAAAGGGCGTACAGTGGTCTCAGGCCCGAGTACAACCTGAAAATAAGCCCTAAAGAATTCGCTACCTTCGAGGAATTAGCAGAGCTAACAGCCGAGGCAGAAAAATAATGAAGGGGGAACAAGAGTTTTCGTCCACCAGTGGGGAAAGAGCAATGCAGCGCCAAGGAGTTTTCATGGTCAAGTACTAAGGACTAGGCTAAAACAGGGAATAAGAAGCCTCAAAACACCTTCTTCACAAAGAAAGAGGAGGTCAGTGAAATGGTGACACCTCCAGCACAGCAAGTCACAGCGAAGGACCTTGGGGAAAAGAAAAAGAGGAAGCAAAAGAAGTCAGGACAGAAGTCAAAGCCAGTGGCGCAAGTGTCAGAACCATCTAAAACGAGGGAGCAAA